GGGGGCGCGCGGGGCCCCGGAGGAGCAGGGCGCGGAGGACGCCGAGGCCGTGGACGCGGAGGCCGCGGAGGACACGGCTCTGCCAGGTACCGGGCCCGGGAGGGGGGCTGCTCGGAGGACTGGATTTGCTCCTGGCATCTGACTGCCCAGCTCTTTTTCTCACAGCGCTCAGGACAGGATCTTCCTTTTTTTTTTTTTTTTTTTTTTTGTAGACCGAGAATCTGCCTCCCTCGACAAAATAAGGAAGGTGTCAGCCCCGCCTCCGCCCGTCCCCTTTATTTCCATAATTAGGTGGCTCTGGCTTAAGCCAGCTGTGAACTCAATTGAAATGCCGCTGGTGAAGTCCTGGTCTTCACTGGAGGGCCCTGGTGGCCTTAGTGAGCCCCTGAACGCCCATCTATTTCTAAGCGCCCATTTTTAGTGAGAGGAGCCCAGCTTTCATCAGATTCTCAAAGGTGACACCAAGAGGTTAACCACTGAGCTAAGCTTTCTGTCTTGTGAATGGGGCTCTTGTTTTCTGTATTAATTCCCTGACCTCGCTGTGCTGTCTCTAAAGAATATTTTGCATTTGTTTACGAAGACTGTTGTGTGTAACTCCTGGCTGGTGGGAGAATATTCCTTGTAAATGCTAGGTCCTCTCCGCTTCTGCCCACTCACTCATCGAAAAGCGCCCATCCTCAGGCTGTCGCTGTGTGCAGGAGGAGCAGAAAATGCTGGAAAATGGCTCTTGGGTGCTGTGCATCTGCTGTTTCTGCCATGGCCCTACACCTTCTTTCTTGCCCAGAGGGTTGCAGAGTTGGGGACTCTCAGCATGGGAGGTGGAGTGGATGGTGGCTGGTGCTGAAGGCCAAGCTGAATGCCTCAGATGGAGTAACCCATGGTCCCTTTTGTTACTTTCTGACGTTGGCCAGACACCACCACGAGGTCACTCTATTTTAAAGAGGACCTAGTGAGAAAAACAACTAAAATTTACTGAGAGCTTATTATACATCCAGCCACTGATCTTAGAATATGTATTTTTTTTCTTTTTTTTTTTGTGAGGAAGATCAGCCCTGAGCTAACATCCATTCCAATTCTCCTCTTTTTGCTGAGGAAGATTGGCCCTGGGCTAATATCCATGCCCATCTTCCTCTACTTTATATGGGATGCTGCCACAGCATGACCTCACAAGCGGTGCATCGGTGCGCGCCCGGGATCCAAACGCCTGGCCGCCAGCAGTGGAGCTCCTGCACTTAACCGCTATGCTACGGGACTGGCCCCCTAGAATACGTATTTTCTCATTCAACTTTCAAAGCAATTCTGAGAGGTAGGATCATAATTTTTATCTCACTTTTAGAGATAAAGAAATGGAAGCTCAGGATAAATGATCAGTGGCTTTATTTTTGTTTGTTTATGGCATTGTAAGTGATGATCAACCAAACTCACCTTGGACTTGCGTCCTGGCCTCTCTGTGAGAGACTGAGGAGGAGAGGAAGTGTAGTCTATGAGCCACGCTGTTTCACCCTTCTTATACTGTCTTCAGCTATTCTCAGTGCGTTATCTGTGGCAGAGCTGCCTCTCCATCCTCGTGTTACTTGTGAAGTCCCACAGATTCCTGCATATCTAGAAGCTAGATTCCTAGCTTCAGTGATGGTTGCTAGAAATGCGAATAACGGAAGGTAGGGAATGTGCCTTCCAGTTTGTTCCTGTGGGCACTGATCTACCAGCTAAATTATGAGATTCGCTTTATCAGACTGAATGGGCTTTTCTCTCCCCGACTCTTCCCCTTCACTGTTTGTGAAAGAGTTGTCGATTATTTCTGTGTGCATATAAATGCAGTTTTTAGATGGCATTCTAGTATGGATGGTGCCTGTGTTTGCCTGAGTTCATGATTATTTTGGTTTCCTTAGAGACGCTGAGTCCTCCCAGTGGCTAAGGTAGTTATTTTTTCTCAGCTAATGTTTTTGCATCAGGGAGAAGAAAGGACGTTTCTGCTTGCAGGACTCCCAATCGCAGGATCTTTTGCTTTGCTCCTGCCTGTCACAGCCCCTGTTGATTCCTGTTTCTGGCTGGCTTGAAAATCTTTGTTTTTAAATGGACAGTTTTACTGAAGCCACATATACACATAGAAGCATATAGTTCTATACTGCTTATTACAGAGATACAGCAGCTTCCCCACCACACACATGCCAACTGCCTATTCCTTAGGTGACCACTTCCAACTCCTCTGGTTTTTCCTTTGGTGTTTATTTCTATATTTCCAAGTAACATGGCTTTTATTGACCCTTCTTGATTTTTTTCAGTTTTTAGCATTACTTTATTGGCTTTAATTTTTTTTACTGCTCTCCTATACGAATGGCCCATCCCCACACCCTCTCAATACAGTCATCATAGATTTGTTAGATTCACAATTAGTATCTACAGTATTGTGCCTGTGGAAAATGTTGCTCACAGCTGCCCTATATTGTTTGCCATGACTCCCTTTTCCTTCTTTCACAATACAACCAACACATCAGGTTCAGTATCACTCTTGACATCTTAAGACATCCCTCCAAAGGCCTCTGACCTACTTCCACTTGGCCTGGTTGCCACTCTTGCAGCCTGCTGCCTGGTTGTACTGGTTGCATCTTGGGAGGGTGCTTCACCACCCCAGGGACTCCTTGACTTCTCTGTTTGTGACCGAACCAAGTGGGCTCGCCTCCTGGTGAGTTAAATAAGACTCTACACCCGTGGAAGTTGTCTCACAAAATAAAATGTATTTGCAGCAAATAGGAGACCATGAGGAATCATTTCCAAAGTCATGGCGTCCCAAACAAAGGGAAGCAGGAACTTTTATTTCAGTTGGGGAATGAATATTCAAAAGGGAGAGGCCGGTATTTGCTTGCACAGCCTCAGTGGGAGAACATGCTTCCACATAATGAGGCCTAAGCTTCTCCTGGAGAGATCTTTGCATTAAAAATAAGGCAGAGGTCGTGGGTGTAGCTCTTCTTGTGAGGCTTGGTCATTTTCAGGGTGGTTGGTGGTTACATCTCCCTGGAGTTTCTCGCTTGGTCAGTTTCAGGATGGTTGGTGGTTACCTCTCCTTAACATACAAAGGAAAAGAAACAACTTGGAAAAAACAGTTAATTGCTTCCAAACCCACCTTTGAGTTTCTCTAGGCACCTAGTCAGTGACATTTTGGGTCAGAGCCTCTGTTGTGTGGCTCTCGTGTCATCTCCTTTCTTGGTTTACCCCCTCTTGCTGGAGCTTATCTTCTGGTAGCTTTCTGAGAAAAGGGTGTGTGAGAGGTTAATTTTCTGAGACCTTGCATGTGAAAAGATAGCTTTATTCTGCCCTTACAATTCAGTGAGTTTGTGGCTGGCCATGGAATTCTAGGTTGGAAGTAATTAATTGTCTCTAAAACATCTGCAGGCATTGCTGTATTGTGTTGTAACTTCTGATGTTGCTGTTAACAGTTCCTTGTCATTCTGATTCTTGATCCTTTGTACATAACATGTCCCGTCTCGTCACTCCCCCCAATCCCCCAACCCCCCAACCCCCTTAGGAAGCTTTTTAGGGTCTTCTCTTTGTCCTTTGTGTTCTGAAGTTTTTCCTCGATCTAGGTCAGTTTTCCTCCAGTGTGTTTGGTGGGTCCTTGCAGTCAAACTCATGTTTTGTAATTCTGGGAAGTTTTCTTGAATTGTGTTCTCATTCCTTTTTTTTTTTTTTTCCTGTTCCTTTCTTTCTAAACTCCTTAATTGTTGGAAGAAGATGGGCATGGATGTTAGCCCAGGGCCAGTCTTCCTCAGCAAAAAGAGGAGGATTGGCAGATGTTAGCTCAGGGCCGATCTTCCTCACACACACACACACACACACACACACACACACACACACACACACAAATCCTTAGTTGGATGTTAGACATCATGAATTTATCCTCTAATTTTCTATCCTCCCCACCCCCAATTTCCATGTTTTTTCCTTCTGTTTTTCTGGGTGATAGTCTCAATCTCATCTTCCAACTCTTCTGTTGCATCTTTCATTTGTGGGATTCTATTTATTTTTTAATTTTAGAGCTCTTGAATTATTTTCTGAGCCAGCCTTCCTTCCTCCCTCCCTTTCTTCCTTCTTCCCTTCATTTCCTCCTTCCTTTCCTCTTTTTATTCCTTTTTAAAAAATAATATTCTATTCCTGATTCAGGCATATAGTATCTTCTCTTATCTTGCTGAGGATCTTACTACAAGTTTTTTGCTCATTTTCTTCTCCTTGTGTGTTTCTTTAGCATAGTCTCTTTCCCCTTGCCCCCCTACTTTTGGTTCTTTTTGCTTGTAATCCTGTATTTCATCTTAGCGACTTTTCTCAAATGTCTAATGATCCTCGGCTTATCATTCTTATTTAACGGATGGGTACTAAAAAGCTGTTTGGACCTTCCCTGTGTGTGGTGGGGGTGGGAGTGCGTGTTAACTGTGGGATTCCTTCCCTCCACAGCCAACATGCTTGGAGGAGTGGTCTACACTGTGTCCAGTTCCTTTCTTCATAGTCACATTTCTTTCTAAATTAAAAAATTTTTTTAAGCAAAAGTATACATATGCATAATTTAAAAAAAGGTGCTTAACATGAAAAAAGTAATCCTGATCATGTCCTATCCATGCCCCTTGCTCTGTAGGGTGCTCCTTCCAACTCTTCAGCTTGCCTTTCAGCATTGGGCCCCTCTTCTCTGTTAGATTTATCTGTTGGCTTTGTTACTTTAAACATTATATATTGACTTCCTTTATGGGAGATGAAGATTTAGCTCAAGATCTTAGCTCTGCCACCCCCACCCCCAGACATACCACAGCACCCATTTTGTCCCAGTGTTAACTATATGACTCTTTTGTTTAAGTACTATTCTCTGTTTGAGTAATCCTGGCTATGTAAATATTTGCAGGTGAGCCATGTAGTAAATTCTGATTACATTTTCTTTATTATTTATGTTTTTACCGAAGTTAATCATTGCTTCTTTTTTTGTTGTTGACTTATTTTTTTAATACTCCCATCACTTATTCAGCCTGAAATAGTCTGGTAGTACTGTAAAACTTGTCACATGCTAGACACATTAGGTGTTCTGTTCATTTTATTTTTTTCCTTAGAGACACTTTTTTGGAAACTTTGATTATCCTCTTCCAATTTAGACCTTATGCTGTCCAGATCTGACACAGCTGTCAAACTGGGGCTTCTCTTCACTGTTTGCTGAGTATTCCTTTCACTCACTTCCTTTACCTGATCTTGTCTTATAAATCTCAAGTCTTCCTTGCATGGCTTATCCCTTCCTTTTGGTGGAGCACATCCTCTGTAAATCCTGAGAAATGTTGCTTGGGAAGTAAAAATTTTGTGACCTTGCATGCCTGAAAATGCCATTATTATATCCAAAGGCTGGATTGATATTTTGGCAAAGTAGACAATTCTAGATTAGAAATTTCAGTGTTTGAAGACATTATTATTATACTGAATCTGAGATTTTGTCTTCCTGTTGAGAAATACCATGCCATTCTGACACCTGTCTTGTGTATGTGACCTCTTTTTTTTTTGGAAGTTTTTAGGAGACTCTCTTTATCTGAGGTGTTTTAAAATTCTGTGTGCGTCTTTTTTTCATTCATTGGGCTAACAACTTGGTGGGCCTTTTCTTTTCAATCTGGAAACTTTTCTTGCAGGTTCAGTGATATTTTCTAGTACCGTTTAAAAATAATTTCCTCTGCTCTATTCATTTCTTCTTTCTACAATTATTTTTAATCAGATGGATGAAACTTCTAACATTTTTATATAAAAATTTCTTGATGTTGGAATTTTTGGTTCTATTTTGTGGCAGAACTCTTCAATTTTATCTTCCAAAGTTTCTATTGAAATTTGTACTTCTACCATCCTAGTTTTAAATTTTGAAGAGATTACTTTTTTTGTCCCAAGTGTTCTTTAAAAAAAATTTTTTTTTTGACTAACATGCTGTTCTTCTTGGGTTTCTTTTAACTCCTCCCAGAAAGCCATAAACATCCTTTGAGAGCTCTCTTATATCTCTGGCCTAGTCTTTTTCTGTATATTTTGGTCTCTTTCTTATTAGAGGATGCACTCGTATGTCTGTTCTGAGCCTGTCTGCTCATATTTAAGTGAGGCTTGAAATGCTTTTTGAGAGTAGCGTGTGCGTGTTGACTGTAATCGGATGAGGACCCAGCTGTTTCTCTGTGGGACCCCAAGGGTTAATGTGTGCCTGTTTCTCCTGTGTTAGCTTCCCCAGACAGCGCTCCTCCAGGCTCCTGCCTGAGAGGGTACAAACCTGGCTGTCAGCATTCTGGGAACAGAGTTGGGGAAAGGGAGGAGGGATCTCGTTCCTTACCACATAAACCTATTTTCAGGAAGGTGTCCCACCTTACTTCTACTGTGCCTGGTGCCCCAAGTCCTTACCCCCTCTGGTTCTCCCTCTCCCCTGTGCCTTCTGGAGTGAGAGAGGGGCGATCACCTGGCACATGGACTAGAGGAAAGACCATGTAAGAAGTACGTATTGCTGCATAACAGAATTACACTGAAAACTAGTGGCTTAAACCTCTGGTACTCATTTATTATTGCACATGGTTTCTGTGGGTTGGAATTTGGCCCAGGTGCAGGGTCTGCCTTGTCTCTGCTCCGTGCTGTCTGTGGCTCCCGTTGGAAGGCTCCAGGGCTGGGGACTATCTGCTAGGACACTCACATGTGACATCCTCCTGTGCCTGACTCTCCTTATAACATGCTGGTTGGCGTCCCTGAGAGGGAGCTGGGCAGATGCTGTATTACCCTTTACGACTTCTCCCTGGGAGCCACATAGCACTTCTTTCATCCCATTCTGTGCCTACAAAAGTCTGCCCAGGCTCCAGGGGAAGAAGCATGGACCCCAGTTCTCAGGAGAGCACGTGGGCTGGGCACTGACTGATGCTGGACCTTTGGAAAAGGCAGTCCACTGCACTAGCCTTCTGGGGAATCTGGTGCCTCCATTTCCAGTTCTCTCTGGGGTTCAGCTTGTGTCCTGTGGGCCTTTCTCCTGCAGGGGGTGAGGACTCACCCTACTCAGTTCTGTGAGGTCGCTTCTACCTCTTCATCTCCTTTCAGCTTCCGAAGTTTTATTGACACCTTTGTCTGATGTTGTTGCCTCCCTTGCTCTTTGTCCTGTGGGTTATACTTTTTTCCTTCACTTTATGGGGTTTTGGGAGGAAGGGACTACTTGCACATGTCGTCAGTGCACATTTAACCTCAATTCCTACATTTTTTCTACTTTTGCTTATTTTTATTTTTCACATCTTTTTCTCGTTCTTGATCAGTCTTGCCAGAGGTTTGTAAATTCTATTAGTGTTTTTCCAAACTAACTCTTGGCTATGTGGGTTTTCTTTATGATATGTTTTCATTACTTCATAATCTCCTTATTCTAATTTTCTTTGAGCTTATTTTCCTAAACAATTTTATTTATTTATTTATTTATTTATTTATTTACTTTTTCCCCCAAAGTTCCAGTAGATAGTTGTATGTCATAGTTGCACATCCTTCTAGTTGCTGTATGTGGGATGCGGCCTCAGCATGGCCGGAGAAGCGGTGCGTCGGTGCGCGCCTGGGATCCAAACCCAGGATGCCAGCAGCGGAGCACGTGCACTTAACCGCTAAGCCACGGGGCCGGCCCTGAGATTATTTTTCTAACTTTTTTTTTTTGTGAGGAAGATCAGCCCTGAGCTAACATCCATGCCAATCCTCCTCTTTTTCCTGAGGAAGACTGGCCCTGAGCTAACATCTGTGCCCATCTTCCTCCACTTTATATGGGATGCCGCCACAGCATGGCCTGACAAGTGGTGCGTTGGTGCGCGCCTGGGATCTGAACCCCGGGCCGCCAGCAGCAGAGCGCATGCACTTAACCGCTACACCACCGGGCCGGCCCCATATTTTTCTAACTTTTTAAGATGGACGCTTATCATTGATTTTTTTCCCTGCGTTTTTTGATATATGTACCTGTCATTTTAAATGATTTATATTCCCTCTTTTCTCCATGCTCTCCATGCCTTTGAACAAGCCACTCCCTCCTCTTGGACTTCTCTTTTCCTGTTCTCTTCCTGGCTAGCTCCAGCTTGTCCTTTAAACTACATCATTATTACCTTCTCTGGGCAGGCTTCCCTGGAAGATCTGGGTTAGACACACATGGAATGGGAGAAGAGGAGAAGGAAGGGAAATGAATCAACGAAGATGGTTTGGGTGGTTTTCCTCCCTTTCTCAGTATTGTAACTATACAAGCCTTGGCCCCCCTCTGTTTCCCTTTGTCTTAGTCCTCATGGGCTCCTTTCTCCCTCTTCCTAGATCCAGGGAAGAGAAGAGGACAGGGTGTGGACACATCACTCAGAGAAATGTTTGAGCAATGAATGGATTTCGGTTCTCATGATAAAATGGAAGGTTGGCATCTGACCTCATCCCAAACAGCTCAAGTGCTGGCTTTAAAGATGTGGCGCTCAGTGGTGTGGAGCATTAAACCCCAGGGTTGGATGTGGATTGTCTGCTCCTTGCAATGTTTAGTAGTAAATGAAACAATTTGGTAGAGTCAAGGTCATGGTTGAAGACAGAAGTGACAAATAGTCTATCAGGGCTTCTTGCACACATGTGCCACTGTGTCTGGACTGCCTGTGCAGGGGCTTGCTCAACGCTAAAGGGGACCTGGACACAGGCAGAAAAGAATCATAGCTGAAAGTAGTCAGGGACAAGAGTAGGTCCTAAAGAGGTGAGGAGGTTTTGGAAGAGCAATCTAGAAAATCATCACCTAGAGCCAAATTGTGAGGCTTCTGAAGCGAGGGTGTCCTTCAGACCTAACAAGTGGGGTGAGTGAAATGGGGCTCAAGATGCATAAGGAGCTCTTAGTCAAACGTAAGTTTAGGCTGAAATGAAATAGAGGCTCACAGAGGGTTTAAGCAAAGTAATATGACTTTTACAAAAGATAAAGGGTTTATAAAAAATAATGAATGGCAAAATCGTAAAAGGTGCTTAGGAGAAACAGTTATTTCTGAGAGTGTATCCTTAATATCTGGTGTTCATTTCAGGTCGGCAGCCCCATTCCCCACCAGTTTCCCCAGCTCTGTTGACAGGATTTAGGCTGTGTAGACCGTGGGCCCTGGTTCAGGTAGTGATTTCTGTTTTGAGTGTTGGGGAAGCCCTCCTAACACAGGAGCCCCCATCGCCAGCTCTTCATACAGGGATGCACAGCTCTGCATCCAGGTGAGTAACTATGGAAACTACTCCCTCTTGTGACTGAGGGCCTGCAAGTTAAGGTTGCCAGCTTGCTCTTTCCAGGGGCATGTCAGAGCTGTAGGGAGCATTTTCCGTAATCAGGAGCATCAAAAAGAAATGGAATCCTGGAACTTGAGTGAGTAACTTAAACACTAACGTTTTGCAGCTGCTGCTGATTGCCACAAATCCAGATCTTTCCCTGAAGCAAGGCATTAAGATGAGTGGACTTATCTTGGGGGTTGTGGAGAAAGCCATTAGGCCGTGGTGCCTTCTCACTTTTAATATTTAATTGAGATGCTTAATCTCAGAATATGAGTTATAGTTGTTGCTTTTGAATAGGCTTGGTTTAATCTTGGTGTATTTGTCAATTTAAAAATGGGATAGACTTGGAAAGTTATTATACTAACTTGTTTCTGTATTTTTGCTTTAAGTGAAACTTGTGAATTGAACTGTAAGTGAAAATGTTACTGACATTATGAATTTTTTTACCTAAATATTTAAAGTAATTATATGTAAACCTGATTTTAAAGCATTTTCATCTTGTTTTATCTCTTTTTTAAAAGTACTGCCAGTGAAAGATGTAAAAGAAAAACCTGAACAACAGATCGGAACAAAAGAGACTGACAAATTACCCAACAATATCAAACCTCGACAGCAACCCAGTGCCTTATTTGCTAGAGGAAATAGGAAAGCCGTCAAAAGTCCTCAAAGATCATCAAGTAAAATAAAAGAAAATAAGCATCCATTTGCTCTTTATGGGTGGGGAGAAAAACAGACAGATACAGGAAGCCAGAAAACACACAATGTCTGTGCTTCTGCCCCAGTGCATGAGGTGGGTTCATGTGCAATCTGCTTCTCTGCTGTCCCTTGGAGGGTGGGTTTGGGCTACATTCCTGTCACTGGGTATCATATCCTGTGTCACTGGGATGCTTTGGGGTTGTGGTAGAGCTTAGGGGATGGTAGGGTGGGCCAAGGAAAGCCCAGAGCTGGGCATCTGATTAGCAAACAGGAGGATTCTGGATGTTGGCTGCCTGGAGATCAAGGGGTCTTGCTGGGAGTTAGCTAGTACGTGGAAGCGTTTACCAACAGTGAGCCAGGTGAACAAGTGGATGGAGTCAGGGTTCTCGAGTTCCTGGGGGGCCAGGAGGTGCAGAGGACGGGCACAACCAGGGCTGGCAGCTGCCCATCTAGATTTGCTGTGAGCCTCTTGAGAGGTTTCCAGTTCCTTCGGCTTTGATAACTGGTGGTTCCTTGACTCCTTTGTTATTGGTTGGTCTGTTAGATTGCTTCTCCTGTAGTCCTTGATATCTACCATAGACTCCCTTTTGCTCTCCAGATTAAATTCGAATGGTTATGTTTTCCCCTGCTCAACCATATCCAATGCCTTTTACCCCTAGGAGCTTCAGTTCTCCCCTGACTTAGCCCTGGCTGGTCCCTGTACGAAGTCCTGAGAACATGTCAGACAGGAGGGTCCTCGTGTAGAGCCAGTAAACATTTATGTCTGTTAGCGCTACTACTGTTACTACAGCCTAAAGCAAAGAGTGAATGAAAAGAAGCAGAACGAGAAAGTGCAAACTGTTTGAATTCTGATTAAATACCATAAACAAATTTTTACTGAACGACTTCTAAACCCTAGCAGATGGTGTTATTTGGAGTGATATCTGAGACAACAAAGCTGTGGTTTAACAAAAGACCTCTCGCAATTCCATGGGATTAAATTTAACAGGGTTTATCTGTAGTATGAAATGTCTTGGGTAGTAAAATCCCTTGAGATTTTTTTCCCAGTATTTTGCTGTAAAACATTCAAAGTCCTTTAATGGAATACTTATCCGTGCTTTAATGCTAAGCAGATCCAATAATTTTCCAGAGCCAATTTCTAGAGGCACATGCAAATTAGTTGCTTACCATTAATAGCTAAAATTTAGTCCGCAGACATTTTCTGTTGCTTAGTTTCTTTATCACTGACAATGGTAAACCACAGAATCCGGGGAAACGGCTTTTCTGGACAAGCTTTTATACACAGAAGAACTGAACATGATGAGGCTGGGCTTGCCTCTGCCCGGGGGGCAGTAGCCACATTGCAAATATTCTTGAAAATTAGAACAGATGCCACTTAAATTATACTTTTATTTTTGAACTCTCTTTAGATTCATGAATCAGCATTACGAGCCAAGAACAGAAGACAGGTGGAAAAAAGGAAACTGGTAGCTCAGAGGCAACGTGCTCACTCTGTGGATGTGGAGAAAAACAGAAAGATAAAGCCTTCCTCCTCAGAGAATCCATGGATGACAGAATATATGAGATGCTATTCGGCAAGAGCTTAAAGGAAGAAACAGTTGCTTGGACAGCCTCTTTTAAAAAGCATAAATGAAAGAAAGAAAAAACAAAAAACAAAAACTATCAAAAGAAACCAGACACAGGTTTCAGAAACCAACTGATTATGCAAGGTTTTTCCTAGGGAGTTTCTAAAAGATTGTTCTATTTTGATGAATCCTGGTCGCCTACCTCAGCAGTAGGGTGACAGTTGAAGCCATAGACATTTGGTTATTTATGAAGATAATTCCCTAATCTTTGATATTCTTATAAGGGTTTTGTTTTAAAGCATCTTAATCTTTTAAGATACTGACACCAAATGCCTTTAAATGGCTATAGATGCTTAACATTCAGTTTTCTTTTCATAAGTTTAGGCAGAGCCTATTTTCATCCTTTTCTGAATAACTTTTCAGATTCCATAGTGAGGAAGATCATTCCAACTTGCAGCGTAAGACTCGTTTTCTGTATGTGTGGTTTTCTTTGTGAAAGAATATCATCAAAAGTGAGTTTCAACATTAATATTGATTCTGTGTATAATGAAACTAGAACTTTGGTAGTTCCTGAAAGATTAAACTTATTGTGTTTTGGTTCAGCACCACTTCATGTAGCCTGTGATATTTAAGAATTGTCTGGGCTGGGTGAAGGTCATCTTTTTAAATGACCATCTAGGCACTTATTTAATAGTGTAATAGTTCAAATGCATTCCAATAAATGAAGTGCCAGTGCATTGTGTTTAGAGTAGTACTGAAGTTTCTTTTGAGTCAAAGACTGACAGTTTTTTTATTGTGAGTTTTTTTAAGAACACATAATGGGGTATCAGTCACTTGCTGCAGTCTGGCCTTTTGGCGTGCACACCCACTGTGGACTTTTGCCTCTTCTATAATAGTTGGCAATGACATTTAGAACTTAAAATCTGAAATTCTGTTTAATAAAATTGAGATTGTCTTGCTCACTGGGGATGTGGGACAAATATTAAGATACCCATTAGAGATGTGGCCTGCCCCTAATTTCTCTACTTTTTCCTTTACAGAACTCACTAATAACAAAGCCTTGATGATGTACATTATTCAGACTTTTGGTTTAAATACATTACACCTAGATTCCTAGCCAGTTGATCTTATAATGTGAGAGAATGGTGGTGGGTGTATAGGCACAAATGTAAGTATGTAAATGAAGTGTTCATTCTATTTAGTGCATTTGCTTTTCGGTTAGAAAAATGGTTTTAAGGAACACTGGTTTCCATCCAGCAGAGACAGGAATCTCCAGGAGAGATGAGTGCTAAGTTCTCTGTAAGAGAGAAGGTACTTTGCCTGTGCCAACCTAGCCCTGGAGATATGTGAGGGAAAACTTTGTCTTTGACGTGAAGTTGAGCATTTCCTTGATATTTTTACTCTGGGTCTTTGAAGTATTATGAATTTTCAGAACACAAATATGTTTTATTCCACATAAAATCTTCACACAGTGTCATCTTACAACTGTATTAAGCTTTGAGAACTCATACTGAAGAACCATGAGCTTTTTTTTTTTTTTTTGTTAAAAAGACTTTTTAAATATTTTGCATCAGAGAGCTCTCCTAACCATTGAGATTTATATTTAATAAGAGGAAGTTCTACGTGTTGTCCAAAACAACCTTGCTAGTAATTCTGCTGAATTTTGCTGTTATTATTATTAAAGTCCTTAAACATTGCAGGTACCTAAAGATCAAATTACTGTGGCGTTGTGATGGTGTAGCTGATTGTGAAAACCCTTCCTTTAGAACCACTTCTTGCATGTTCAGTTTTACCCATCTAGCTCAAGTGATCATGTTGCATCTGACAATCTTAGGGAAGATAGCCTTGGCGGGTAGCTCAGGCCCCACACTGATGGACTGCCTTAGAAACCCAACTTCCTCTAGGCTTTGAACAAGCCAGACTCTCTCTCTAGAAAACAGACTTGTATTTAATGTGCTTACTACTGAAAATTCCAGATGGAGATAAAACCTAGAAGGCAATATTGGCCAGTTTTTGCCCTTTTTAAGTAGAGGACAAATGAACAAGATTTTTAAAGTACTTTTAATGTGCATGAACAATGAGTGAATCAATATGAATTAATTGTGAGTCCCCTTCTTATGTCCAAGTCATTAGTTGGTTAAGGTTTCTTTTCCTTCTTTCTCTTTAGGGATGAAAATTACCTTTTGAGCCTATGAAATTTTTAAACTTGTAACAATTGGATGGTTTTACTTTTTCCTTCTCATTCTAGAAACTAATGTGGTTCTAATCATGTTCCTAATTCTTGGGACAACTTGCAAGACAGCAAGATAGTTTAAAATTACCTTTCATGTTGAAAAGTTTGAAACTGTTTGAGAATCCAGTGATATGTAAAATATAGAATAAAATAATTGCTGTATAAGACTGTCTTTTTAAATTTTTGGTTTTAAGTTCTTAATTAAAACAATTTGCCATAAACATGTTTTATGTGTTACTTTTATTAAAAGCAGTAATAGAATATTGAATAACATCTAGCCCTCTGCTGGACCGAGGTGAATGAGAAATAAATAGGAATCTGTTCTTTATTTTGAAACCTAAAAACTGCTCTTATTTAGGAGGCATCAAAATACTTGGTACCTCTGGTTATATGTATGCTCGCCCACCACCATAAAATTTCTAAGCACATAAATACATTTCTTAAGTTTACTAAAGGTGTAATAGGGTATAGGTTACTTTCTCATAATGTGGTAGACACATATTTATGGGACTTCGTATGTAATAGCTTTATTATTGTTTCATCAAATATCAATTGCTAGTAACTTGAAAGGAGTGTGTACTAGGTCACTCAAACTGAGCTGACTAAACTGCACGAAAGAAAGGTGGCTGTTGAGTTATTGGAAGTCAACTTCTAAAACAGAATTCTGCACAATTGGCAGGTTTAAAAATAGTCCTTAGTGTATTCCCCTCCTCTAAATTGACAATGCTGTACTGGGCATAAACTTTATAAATGGAATGTCATAGTAGTTGATAGTTAAAATTTTCAGAAGTGTTACTGGCAAAAAGGGAGAGAGGCAGAGCATATGTTAGAAGTAAAAACAACTTTTCTTGTTGACTGCTTCGGTAAAAAATCTTTAGTGGATAGTTTTACATTTCACTGGACTAGATAAAAGTGGTGCTGATATTTATATAGCCTGATTCTGTAGTTGGTTTGGTATCAAACTGCTAATGCCTGACTCATAAAGTCCTTACTGTATAGTCTTGTGATTAGTTAAATAATATTTAAAAAGTGATCCTAAAAATGTGATCTGGTCATTTCAAAATTTTTGCATCTGAAATAGATTTCCATACAATAGGACGAGTAGGGAGTTATGCTGTGTAAATGTATGCTTAATACCAAATTCTATGCAAGGAGCTATGTCTAGATTTTTGGCCCAGATTTGGTCTGTTCGAGCCTGCTGGTACGATATGGGAAAAAGTTGCTCCTTTAATAATTATTTCCATTTTGCAAGTCAGGACACCTGAGTGAAGACATCAGAAGCCTCTTTTTTGATTTCTTTTATAATTAGCAAAACTGTGTATTTAAGAACAGTCTCCCCATATTATTATAAGTTTATTTTGAGTTTTGCATTCACTTTAACATATAGAAGGAATAAAGACTGGGTACTTACAATCACAAAGCTCAGGCAATGGGAATTTTGGGTTGTATTTTAAGAGCTATGTATTGCTTTTAGCTTATATTTAATATTGAAGTTACTTGGAAAAATGTGAATAAAGTTAATTAATATTACAGGCTGAAACTTTTGTTTGGTGGGAAACAATTCTGATTCGTACATCAGTGGTTGAAGAAAATGTATGATCACATTGACTCCTAAATGGATTTTTCATTAGATGTTTAACAAGATACATTAGATACATTCAGGAAAGGATACTTTCTGTATATACACTTTGAGTTGAACTATAAATTTTTCCCAGTCTTTTCTCTCACACCTTCCTATTGTTTTGAAAATTACAAAAGTAATAGTTCACAGTTAAAATAATTCAAAAAAAAGTAGAGAGTAAAAAGTGCAAGTTCCTTTCAATACCACCCCCTCACCAAAATTGTACACCCCTTCTTAGAGGACACCAGTGTTAAGTTTAGTGTGTAAACTTCTAGACTTTTTCTTCTAAGCACTTATCTGTGGAGGTACATAAACACTTTTTTTTCCCCCAAAGTATAGAATAATACTATACACATTCTATAACTTTTTTCAATTAATATCTTAGGGAAGGTTTGAGTTCCAGGTAAGATGGAGTTAACATGCACCCTCCTTTTGTTTTCACTAAACACAACTATAAAACCTGGATAGAATGTATGGCACAACTATTGGAGGACTCGAAGAAGTAAATAGCAACACACAGATTGGGGAGGAACACCAGAATTCTAAGTACAACTGAAGTGGTGAGTTTACCATCTTTTTATTCCTCTGGTATCTCCCAGCCTGAACACAACATGGCCCCAAACGCCAAAGTGAGCACAGTAGTGCAGAGATCCTAGAGAAGCCTGGCTTGAGGAACAGGAAAGGAATGGCTAAAGCCCAGAGTGAGGGAGGGAAATGCCCTTTGTTTCCTCTCCTGTCTCTTCACTTTTCATGCTGGAGCCCCCAGGTAGTCCCTTGGCTGCCAGCAGGAACCTGCAGGAGCTAAGAGTCTGAGGGAGGGGAACTTCACCTCCATTTGGTAAGGCTGAGGCACCAAGAGGGTGAGGCTGAGTCTGTGTGCTTTTTTCCATCTCTGAAGGACATGCCTCAATTACAGGAGTGGGCAGTTTCGGGTTGGAGGGCCAAAAACGGAAGCCCCAAGGAACCAGAAAGTACTGGTGACATAGAGAGGGATGAGCTCAGGGAAGTAGTTCCACAAAGATATTTATGAATTCTGGCTCACCCCTGACCTGCTCACCTCACTCACACTGTTCGCCTGTGGAGCTGATCCTAATTAACCAAACACATGTGAGACCTCAGCTGACAGACCCCTCCTCAGATCTCAGACTGACCACAGATGGTGTACACGTGGGACAGATCCCAACAGCACTGCAAAGGCTTTGAAAACTGAACTGACATTGGGACCAACACCCCCAGAACTTGTGGCCTGAACCTGACCAGATCGAGTACTAAAACAAAAATATCAACATTCTCCATGGGATTTGCTTGCATCTCATTATGTAATATTCAAAACACCTAGCATACAATCCCAAATCACTCAGCATATGAAGAATCATGAAAATATCTCTAATGGAAAAAGGCAATCAACGGATGCCATTATAGACTTTAAAGGAGCTATTATTAAAAAGTTCAACTGAGCAATCACAAACACTCTTGAAATAAGTATTAAAATAGAAATTATCAATAAAAAAAAGAAGAACCAAATGAAAACATGAGAACTGAAAAATACCATAACTGAAATTAAAAAACCCCTCACTGGATAGACTCAATAGCAGAATGGAGATGACAAAAGAAAGATATAGATCAATACAAATCATCCAATCTAAACAATAGAAAAAAGAAAAAAAGATTCAGGGCTACGTCATAGGAGTCACAGAAGGATAAGGGAAAGAATGTATTGGTTTAAAAACACCTGCAGAAATGATGGCTAAAAACCTCCCAAATAAAGCTGAGTGAACCCAAAACTGGATAAACCCAAAGAAATCCTAGCCCAGACACATCATAAAATGTTGAAACTAAAAGACATCTTGAAAGCAGCCAGAGAAAAATGAAAGATTTCCTATAGAGGAACAATTCAAATGACAGTGAATTTTTTCGTCAGAAACTACGGAGGCCAGAAGGAGGTGGCACATTTCTTAAAGTGCTGAAAGAAAATAATGTCAACTCAGAATTCTATATCCAGTGAAATATCCCTCAAGAATGAAGGTGAGATAAGGATATTCTCAGATGAAGGAAAACTAAGAGAACTGATAGCCAGCAGACCTGCTTTACAGGAATAGCTAAAGGAAGTTCTTCAGACAGAAGAGAAATAATACCAAAAGGAAACTTGGAATATTGGGAATGAAGCAAGAGCAAGTTACAGGATTCAGTCTTTTGTCCTTGGTTCCTGAAACAGCTGCAGAGCCATAAAGGTGAAAGGAGTGTCTTGTTATTTATAACAAGCCCCTTTCAACCACATCTGAGTTTATTAATGAGGTAACTTTTGGAAAATCCCTAAGGATGGGGGCTGGTTGCCAGGGGAATGACCCCTGTGATTAGAGGGTTGAAATTTTCAGTCTCCCCCTACCCCTGTCCCTGACCTCTGGGGAAGGGAGAGGGGCTGGAGATTGAGTTCAAACACCAGTGGCTAATGATTTCATCATTCATGCCTGTGTAATGAAGCCTCCATAAAAACTCAAAAGGACGGGGTTCGGAGAACTTCAGGTTGGTGCACACATGGAAATGTAGGAAGCGTGGTGTACTCAGAGAACAAGGAAACTTCACATCCCTTCCCACATACCTTGCCCTATACATCTCTCCCATCTGGCTGTTCCTGAGTTATATCCTCTTATAATAAACCAGTAATCTAGTAAGTAATCTGTTTTTC